ATATAGACTAACTATAAATAACATTTTGGTCCTAAAATTATGCTAAAAAATTTCGCAAGAAATTTAACAATATATAGAATACATCTTAAAAGCAAGATTTTATCGTTTTATCGTTAACAACCAATTATGCATTGCAAAAATTCTCCATTGGCCCGAAAATAAAATCTAAAATTTTTAAACTAATTTTTTGGTAAATAATAATTCGATAATATCTACATATCGTTGTAATCAATTAAGGTTTGGATTTATTTGGTAAATACATAAACCTAATTTTTCTTTAATACGTTTCATTGCTTATAAATATATATTGTAACAATGGAATCTACATGTGGACATTTTAAGAAGTTGACATAGTTTAAGGAATAGATTTTGGAATCAGTGGCGTGATTACTTGGCATTTTCATGCTTCCTATACTATTATCGTCTTTTATATGTCTATACTCTTTTTATATTACTGACCAAAAAAAAGTCATTTGATATTTATAAGTTTGGTTTTATATGCTCTGTAGATAAAAGCATGATTTCCAATGTCAAATAGATGAGTATAAGTTGAATTAACCATTAGAGTCCAAAATTGGTGCTAACTTGATTAATAATATGAGATGCTATCACGAGATGTACAAAATCTCATTTATAATGGAAAACTCATAATTCATATAAGTTTAGTATATAACCTACTAGAGTTCGATTCTGGTAATTTAGTATATAAATATATATACCAATTCAGATTATTATATAAGTGGGTTGAAGTTCGAATTGGTGAATTTTGTTTCGGTTCAGTTTGGTTATACCAATATATATCTCTATGCGCATCCAAGCTTTTTATACATAGAGATATATATAGCATTGTGTTATAGCTTACGTTAACGGTTAACCATCAATTTGAAACGCGCTTCTTACTTTTACTACTAGTAGAAACAAATGCAACTTTTTCTTCTAATAGATCGTGAATTTAATTTTTTTTTTTGGTCACAGGTGAATTAGTCATTTAATTACTGTTTTAGGATATAAATTCAAAAAAGTGAATAATAATTTGAGATTTTGAGTTCATGCATGATCGTAACGTTTCATGATGTATATTAATTATTTTAAAATATCTATAAAGTCTTCAACAAATTGGTATAATTGGTAATTAAGAATCATTCATAGTTGTTATTTCCCAAATTTGAATCGAAAAATCATATTTTGTTATCTGTTGCTTAAACTTTGCTTTTATTTTGGTTCAAGCTAGATATTACTTTTTGTTTACATGTTAGGGTTTATACATTAATTATTAAAGGCTTAATTAGACAATGATATTAATTACCTGATA